TAAAGATTTATTTATTATGTATACAGTGTTCTGCCTGCATGCCAGAAGAGGGCACCAGATCTCATTACAGATGGTTGGGAACCATCATGTCATTGTGGGAAATTGAACTCAGGACCTCTGTAAAAATAGCCAATGTTTTTAACCACTGAGCCATCTCTCCAGGCCCACTTATTCTTTCTTATAAATTCCCAGCCTTAGCTTGGCTTACTTCTTGCCAGCTTTTAACTTAAATTATCCCGCCTACCTCTTGCCTCTGGGCTGTTACTTTTCTTTATTCTGTCTGCCTTTCTTTATTTCTTACTCTGTGGCTTGCTGTGTTGCTGGGTGGTTGGCCCCTGGAGTCTTCCTTTCCTTCTTCTCTTGCTCCTTGATCTTTTCTTCCCAGATTTCTCCTTCTGTTTCTTCTCTCTGCCTGCCAGCCATGCATATCCTTTCCCCTGCCTAGCTATTGGCCATTCAGCTCTTTATAAGACCAATCAGGTGTTTTAGACAAAGTAACACAGCTTCACAGAGTTAAACAAAAGCAACATAAAAGACTGCAACATATCTTTGTATCATTAAACAAATGTTCCACAGCATAAATGAATGTAACACACCTTAAACTAATATTCCACAATAACATACACTCCCCTTCCTACTTGGTGGCTCAGCACTATCACACATAGGTCCTTCTAGACCTCCCTAAGTCTAAAGTATCTTCTCCATGGCTGCCTTAGAAAGGCATGAGTTCCGAGCCTGCCTGGCCAGGTTGTGAAGGATTCTGGGTAGGGGAACTTGGTACACTGATCTACCCGGATGCCATGCTCCCTAACATCACTACTGGGCAAGTGCTTTATCATCGCTTCCTTAGCAAATTTAAATAATTATAAAGAGCATTTAAGACTTAGAAACTTGCTTGGGTCATCTGTGTGGCAGTGGCAGAAGCTAGGATTCCATAGTTTATACATTCACCACCTGACCGGCTGGGGTGGTGGTGGAGGGGTGTCCTTTCTCATCATGCATGTCCCCTTTTAAGATTTGTTACCTGGACATGGTGGTTCACGCCTTTGATCCCAGCACTCTGGGAGGGTAGAATCTGGTGGATCTCTGTGAGTTTGACACCAGCCTGATCTAATAGTGAGTTCCAGGACAGCCAGGGATACTTAAAGTTCAAAGTTCAAAGTCTCTTCTGAGACTCATGGGACTTTTAACTATATCTGCCTTGTAAAATCAAAATGAAAGAGCAGATCACAGATCACATATTCCCAATATATAATGGCACAGTTATACAGTACCATTCCAAAAGGGAGGAAAGGGAGCATAGTGAGGAAATACTGGACCAAAGCAAGACCTAAAACCAGGTGGGCAAACTCCAAACTCTGCATCTCCATGTCTACTGTCAAACCACTCTTCAGATCTCCAACTTCTTTCAGCTTTGTTGACTGTAACACACTTCTTTCTCTTGGGCTGGTTCCACTTCTGTTAGCAGCTCTCATTGACAGTTATCCCACAGCTCTGGCATCTCCAAAATCATGGACTCTCCAAAGCAATCTAGGCTTCACTTTCACAGCTTCATGCAATGACCTCTCTAGGTCTTCATGCAAGGAAACCCCTGACATATGCCTGGCCTCAGCAGCTTTTCTTAGTCAAGGAGGAAGATTCCACAGCCCCTTTCTTTTATCCTTGACTCCAGAGCCATGTGGCTGAAGCTGCCAAGTTCTTCTTGCTGGGGCTGGAACGTGGTCCTCTTGTTTAATTACATCTTCACCAGCTTTCTTTTTTCAATGGTCTCCTTCACTGCCTAAGCCTAGCTGTTCTGGAACTCACTCTGTAGACCAGGCTGGCTTCAAACTCAGAGATCTGCCTGCCTCTGCCTCTGGAGTTCTGGGATTAAAGGTGGGCACCACTGCTGCCTTGCCCTAAGCTTTTCTTTAATGCCTTTTCTCAAGTTGGAAGTTTAGCTAGGTGGGACTTACCCTGTGGTCACCACTGCCTTAATCCCATTTTGCACCAGGCTTTTCTTTAAACTTTTTCCTGGTGCCCTTTTCTCCTTGAACTGTACACTTTGTATTTTTCCTGCTCAGCTTGATGCTTTTTTCATTACATAGCTTTATTACACAGTCAATACTAAGCTTTTTGAAATCTCCTCTGCCAATACTGTTAATCCCCAAACTCTTCAATTTAGATTCAGGCAGACTTTTCAGACAAGGGCAGAAAGCAGCCACATTTTTGCCCAAATATCACAAGACTGGTCTCTAGGCAACTTAATAACACTCTTCTCCTCTGAATCTTCTTGAACCAGGCCCCCCCACAGTTCAAATCACCCTCAGCACCACTGTCTTCCATGCGCCTACTAGTATGACACATTAGGCCACACTTAAAGCATTTCACTGCTTTCCTAATCCAAAATCCTAAAGTCCACATTCCTCCAAACAGAAGCATGATCAGGCCTATCTCAACAATGCTCCACTCCTAGCACCAACTTCTGTCTTAGTTAGGGTTTCTATTGCTGTGAAGAGATACCATGAGCATGGCAGCTCTCAATAAGATAGCATTTGATCAGCTTGCTTACATTCAGAGGTTTAGTCCATCGTCATCATGGCAGAAAGCATGGCTGCACAGAGGCAGATATGGTGCTGGAGAAGGAGCTGAGAGTTCTACATCTTGACAGGCAGCAGGAAGACAGACACTAGGCCTGGCTTGAGCATTTGAAACCTCAAAGCCCACTCCCAGTGACACACCTCCTCCAACAAGACCACACCTCCTGGTCCTTCCTAAACAGTTCCCCAACTAGGGACTAAGCAATCAAACAAATGAATTATGGGGGCCATTCTCATTCAAACAACCATGGTCATCCTTTTCTCATGGGTTAGTTGGCATTTCCTAAAATGCTAATGGCTTTTTATGTGTACTTTCATGAAGGGTATTCATCTACAAGTATGTTTATTGTTGGCCTGAGGTAACTCTGGGCTCACTGAGACAGCTAAGAGGAAAGCTTCCTCCTCTCCACCCACTGAAAGAATTTAACACTGGTAAAATATTGTCCTAAGAACTGGCTGGATTTAGTTTCCACCATGGAAGGGTGTTTGTCCTCACTTGCTACTCTTTAACTGTTGAGACTGTAGTGATGTCCTTGCTGATTCCTGATATTATTTGGTATTTCCCCTTTTGATTTTTTTCTTCCTTTTGTTTGAGACCAGATCTCACTATGTAGACTAGGCAAGCCTTGGATTTGAAGGGAGCTGTCTGCCTCTGCCTCTTTGTAGCACTTAAGTCATGTGCCACCAAGATTCATCCATTTCAATTCCTTCTTCTACCTCTCCTCTTCCTCCTCCTTCTTCCTTCTTGAGATAGGGTTCCACTATATAGCCCTGGCTAGTCTGGAACTTGCTGCGTAGATCAGGCTGGCCTTGAACTCATACAGATCCACCTGCCTTTGCCTCCCAAGTA